CTAGCCGATAATAATGCTCACGCCATCATACGATCCAAGTGGCTGCGTTCTAAACAACTTCTTGGCTGAGCTATTGTTCTAAACAACTTGTTTTGTTAAAAGAAAATTTAAAATTCTTTTAAAAATTAAATAAATTTTTATTTTAAGGTCATAATAATTAATATTAATTAACCATAACGTTTTTATAGCTCTTTTACATGCCACATAAATTTAGTTAGTTTGGACGAAGTCGCTGTAACCAGCAGCTAGCAAGTAGCAACTTAGAGCATCTCCAACAGACTCTAAGTGCACCTCCAAGCTAAAACTTGGCAACTCCATAAAAAAAAAGTGCTCCAACAGCCTCTCCAACCCGCTGGCCAAATCTCTCCAATCCCTGACATAATTTGGCCACCCAATATCACTCGCCAACCGTGGGCCCCATGACTCTATCCCCCTCTCTAGCTCTCTCTCCTTGCCAGGCAGCCATCCGGCAGTGCTCCATCAAGCCAGCCTTTACCCGCGGCCAGAGGAGATGGGGCGAGGGTGGCTCGGCGAGGGAGGAGAGACGGTAGGAGGACACGGCATTTCGCAAGGTGGCCCAGGGGTCTTCTTCGTTTAAGGCAATGACGACAAGGGAGGAGCGAGGGCGCAAGATCGACGCAGCTCCACAGCGAGGGCGATAGGGTAGCTCGACGGCGAGACAACACGATGTTGGAAAGGGAAGAGCGAGGGCGCGATGGCGGCTCGGTGGCAAGGGAGTAGTGAGTGCGAGACAATGACACGACGGTGGTCGGCTGGATGGCTCGGAGCGAGATGACGATGTGGCACCACAGTTGAGTCGTCACAGCGTCGCCAGCCGAGGTAACTGCTCCTTTCGCTGCCGGCCGAGATCACAGGCTGTCATAGCTCCACCTTTCCCACAGCGCGAGCTCACCACCATCGCAGCTGGTGCTGCCGCCGCTGCCATTGTCGTCTTCTTCTGCTCTCGCCATCTGCCACCAACGACGGTGGCTATCCATTCCTCTCGCCACTTGCCACCGCTGCTGCCTTCTCCCCTCTTCCCAGCATGGTTGCTAACTCAGGATGCATGAAGGATTGAAGGATGTGTGGTTGTGAGGATGGTGGAGAGACTGACATATGAATCGCACTATCATAGACTTAGAATAGAGAGGGTAGATAGAGATGTTGTCAGAGTAAGCAACGAGTTTAATTTGATAAATCAGATGAAGAGTTGGATATATGAGTGTTTGGAGAACCTAATTTAGATAGCCTATTGGAGATGCTCTTACTCATCTAAACCTGGCGATCTAAACCTGGCGAACCTAACGAATGTTATATTGCAAACATTGAACTCGAATGCACAACGGCTACATACTTTCGGTAGTCAAAGGTCCTAGGAATGAATACGGAATGGAGGACGGATTATACTCGTAACATATTCTTTTTTGTTTTTTTAATAGAAAACAAATATGAATAGCTCGGATATAGAAATAAATACAAATCGTATCGAATATAAATAAGGATCTAATATGATTAAACAAGAGTACAGAAATAAATATTTCTCGGAACACAAGAACGACCTAAACTTGTGACAAAAACAAATAGCATCACACATAATTAGCTCGTTTTATATAAAAAGTTTGATCGAAGAATAAGCAATGCTAATTAAGTTCAACATGTACAACATCGTTTGTATAAGTACATTTCTAACTGATATTATCATACAAATTTATAAAATATTTAAAAGTTTAAATAATATTAATAGTGTGGACTGGTATAATTTATAAAGCTCTAGTAAAATCTAAATAGGTATGCTGAAGGTCTAGAGTTAGAAACAAAATAAGTATGTTTTATGTCTTTAGCGGATATCCGAATAGTATTATTCATTGGATAGTCGTATCCGTCGAAAACTCTGATATTATATCTGTATTTGTATACAGACTACCTAAGAAATATTTATATTCGGACTATCTGAGAAGTATTTGCTAATGGTATCCGTATTTATTTTTCTCTATCATCCCTAGTTGAGTCTTGGCACGCACCAGATGCATGGAAAGTGATTTTTATCCCGTGAGACTTTTAGAAGTCATCCCATCATTTCTCATCAAAACACATGTAAATAGTTACGAAAAAAGTTTGTAAAATTTTATGACACATTGGTTTGAAGTACATCTACTTTGCATGGTAACTGCTCCGCACGACAAGTGCTTTAACGACTAAAAATCTAAGGGATCCAATTTAGAACAAGGAGTTTTAGAGGAATTTTATAGGGTTCAAATAGAAAAAGGATACATGTAAAAAACGTGTTTGCAAACATCATATTAAATTGATATGTCAAATGTGGTTGAAACTTCATTTTTATAACAACCCACTAAATCCAATGGTTGAGATTTTGTTAGTAAGAGTTTAGTAAAGATTTCTTAGTACATACGTAAGTATTACTCGTTAAAATACTACAATTTTTTTTCATAAATGTCCATTTGGTGTAAAGGAATAGCCATTCCAAAATCTTATAAAATTCCAATTTCTTCAAAATTTCTTGGGACGGTCTCAAATCATAGTGATTTTTGAGAATTAATTTATAATTAGTATGGGATCCAAACCTCTCGGAAAAAATTCTTTCTATATGTTTCTTTTGATGCCTGTATTTTTCTTCGGCGTGCCTGTATTTTTTCTTTCCTTTATTGGAAGAGGTCATTTCTGTACCTTCCGTGTAATTTTCTATGCATGAGAAAAATCTTACGTTTTTCTTATCCATGTGTATCTTTTATCCTAAATATATGTTCCAAAGTGAAAAATTAACCAAAACAAAGGAAAAGGATGGCACCTTAGGAGATATGTTTTCAGTCTCATCTACCACCATAGTATCATCATCAAGGTGCCTGACCTGTTGATCCACTCGTACTGGACGGACAGGGCATGCACATGCTGTCTTGGTTGCCGCTGCAAACGGATTTTGTCCGAGTGTAATCTCCGCTGCTGTTTTCTGATCAGGTTAGCCTGTTTACTACCTTTTCCTACGTTTCGTACACCTACAAAAATGAAAACATAGTTAAGCAAACGCTAATCATGGGCTGAAGCTCCACTTCTATATTAAGTATGTTATTAGTGTACAACTTGTTAATTACTTGACTCACACCGCTCAAGGTGCATACATCCATCATTACTCCGGAGAAACGCGCTCTATCGTGTCATCCGGTAAAAAACCACTTGTTGTTTTCGACAAGATTCTATATATCATATTTGGTAATGACTTCTTAGATATTTAATTTGAAAACTTAAATATGTGCAAACTTATCTTTAAAAAACTACTTCATAGTACTGCAAACTTATTAGAGTATAAATATAATTAAGGGAACTGCTAGATTTCAAGCGCCTAAAATTTTGTACATTCTTAAGCCCTAAATTGCAGAGTTATGCAATATGTAATATATGTTACTTCTTTTAAACTGGAATTTTGGCGCTACATGGTTGAGTTTGAATATTTTTTACCTGTACTGGAATTGTAAGTTTCTATCATGTAGTTCAGCATTTTTTCAATTTTTCCAGGTTAGAATAGTTTGTTGCTTAACTTTTTTATCTTGGAAAGAGGGAGTACTGATGAAAAACAACTACTATGTTGTTATTCAAGGAAATAAAAAAAGTGACATAAATTTTCAAAAAAAATAGTCAAATCGCCCTCAATGAATATAAATTAAGAAAAAAAAAATTCAAACGTCGAGTATTGTTTTTCGATAGTTATATTAAGTCCACCTCTACGTACGGAAGTATGAAACCTCCAAGACTCTGAAAGTCACGGAGGGAATGAACGCGCGTGTCCTTGTGGCACACGTATAGTTAATGATCTGACCTTGGAGTTTATATTATTCTTTTCAAGATTTGCAATTAATTGGATCGACATAACCATAGTTTACGAATAGAGGATATATCTAATTACTTTGATCATGATGCGATTATATATCTTGCTTTTGAAGTGTTAGACAGCTGGTCGACGACGACCGACAGAGTCAAGTCTCTCTTGACAGAGTCAGGGACTTAGTGTACCACTCTCTACTCTGCTTGCGCGATCGCGTGGCAACTTTCTTTATATATTTGTATCAATTTATACGTATATGCATAAGGGCTACAATTCTGACTCTCAAAGGGACGACACTCCTTCATTGTATCTATTGTCATTTAAATGGTTATGAAAAAATATAAAAAGATTCAACCAGATAGACTAATATGTGATAAATCACTCCACAAATATACAAGCTGCAATGAAAAACCAATTTGACTGTGAATATACGTTAACTAGCCATAGTTTAACTTGTTTTTTTACAACTTGTAGAAGTTAAATTTTATATGTTTTTGGAGTGATATACTCCATCCGTTTCATATTATAAGTCGTTTTACTTTTTTTTTCTAGTTAAACTTTTTTAAATTTGACCAAGATTATAGAAAAATATAGTAGTATTTTCAACATAAAACAAACATATTATCTAAATATATTCAATGTTAAATTTAACAAGGTTTGACTAGAAAAATAGTCAAACGATTTGTAATATGAAATGGAGGGAGTACCACATATAAATCTATCTAGTTAAATTTTTTTTAAGTTTTCTACAACTATTAGATGACATGCAAATAACAAGGAGATGTTCCCTCGAGAGTCCACTCCCTTGCAGACTGCCAGCGTGCCCACACCCGCACCCGATAAAAGAAAAATTCTATGCGGCAGTGCCGCGTGATGCTTCTCATGTAACACCCTACGAACTAGCGACGTGTGTCCTGCTGCTATCCGCACGAGATTTTTCTTTGAGCCGAGCCAATATAGCTAAATTAGCGGCTCAAAGAAAAGTCTCGCATGGGCAGCAGTAGGATACAGCATCACCAATTCATACGGTGTTGCACGAGAAGCGTCGTGCGGCACTGCCGCGTAAAATTTTTTTTCCCACACGGTCAGCCGCGCACTAGCAGAGCACCCCTACTCTCTCCTGTCTATATATTTGGAGGTGGGTGCATGAGTCCAGCTCAAAGTGTACAAGTGTACAAGCCATATCAATCTTTCCTCTTGAGTTCACTAAGATTTCGCCAATGCCGCCGCCGCCGCCGCCGCCGCCGCCCGGGAATGTTGCGGAGGAGCAGCCATGGGAGTACACGCTGCGGAAGTACCTCCTGCTGCTGGCCACGCTGGTGGCGACGGTGGCGTACGGCGCCGGGTTCAGCCCGCCGGGCGGCGTGTGGTCGGACGCGAAGGACGGCGTCCACCTCGCCGGCGACCCCGTCATCAGGGACCACTACAACGGCCGCTACCTCCTCTACTTCTACTGCAACGCCACCGCGTTCGTGTCGTCGCTCGTCGTCATCGTCCTCATCCTCCTCTTCGCCGTGCTCCACGAGAAGCGGAACGTGCGGGTCACCGTGATGCCGCTGCGCGCGGTCATGGTGCTCGACCTCGTCAGCCTCATGGGCGCCTACGCCGCGGGGACGTGCCGGGACAGGACCACCACCACGTTCACCGTCGTGCTCGTCTCCCTCGTCGTCGTCTACGTCGCGCTGCAGGTGGTGCTCGCCTCGCTGCCCGCCGGCGAGCACGACGGCGACGAGCACGTCGTGAAGGAGAAGTCGCGCAAGGTGCTCCTGCTGCTCGCCACGTTCGCCACGAGCCTCACGTACGTCGCCGGCCTGAGCACGCCGGGAGGCTTCTGGTCGGACTCGGACGCCGCCGCCGGCCACCGCGCCGGCGACGCGGTCATGGGCGACAGGCACCCGGCGAGGCTGACGGTGTTCCTCCTCTGCAACACCACCGCGTTCGTCGCGTCGCTGCTCGTCATCGTGCTGCTCCTCGACCGGAAGCTGCGCGACGGCACGGTGCGCGCCTGGGAGCTGTACGGGTGCGTCCTCGTCTCGCTGGCGGGGCTCGTCGGAGCCTACGCCGCCGGGAGCTCCAGGGCGGCGCACACCACCGCCTACGTAGTAGCTCTGATCGGCGCTGTCCTCGCCTACATTGCCATCCATCTGGCCGTCGTCGCGTGCGCCGCGCGCGCACTTAGCAACACCGGCATGTCGGAGAAGCTTGCTGGGATGTATTCTTCGGTGAAAGAACGGCGATATCATCTCAGGCAACCGGCCCGAGAATTAGCCCAGGCTAATGATGACAGGTATATGTCGTCGTCTCACGAGAATATTTCATTTTACAGATCTTAGAGTTTGATAATTCTCTTTAAGTCTCAGTGTGAAACAAAATTATTTAGTGTTTATTTGATCTACTGTTCTTGAAAAAGTACGTACGATCATTTTTAATGTTAATCCATGATGACCTTTCCTAATACCTCCCTCCTTAGTGCTACCGTATCAATAGTGTTGGATGGTAAATCTATATTGACATACGTAATACACTGGTACCTACATGTATTGTGTATGGTATTAGGTATTTTGTACCGTATAACATTAGTACCAGGTTATATCAAGTCTGATATCATAGCTATCAGGTCTATTACATACTGTATCATACTGACGTCAACGTATAATATTCCGTTAAAGGAATGGTATAGTGTTTCCTAGGCATACTCGTAAACGACGGTACCTTTCCCTACCTTCCCAAAACATGTAAAAAAGCTTACTCACACATTTAATTTTATGTTTTGTTATTAGACAATCATCCATTTACTTTTCTTTGGTTTCAATTACTAGGGAGAAGCTACTGAACCAAGCTCTAGAGAAGGCTCGCTCTCTTGTTCTATTGCTCGCCACTCTGGCAGCAACCATAACTTACCAAGCAGTGCTTGACCCGCCGGGTGGTTATTGGCAGGTTGACAAGGATGGCCACAAGGCTGGTGACCCAATTCTCCTAACAATTAATGCTAAGCGGTATAAGACATTTTTCTATTTCAACTCAACTGCCTTCGTGGCATCCTTACTCGCCATCATCCTGGTGCAGAGCAAGTCTCTGCTTAAGCGCCATGCACTGGAGGCAGCCATGATTTTAGACTTATTTGGGCTCATGGGTGCATATGCAGCTGGTAGCTGCCGGGATGCAAGCACCTCCATAAATGTCATGGCCATAGCTGGTGCAGTGCTGGTGTATGTGGTGATCCATATCGTGTTCTTCACACTAGATCACAATGATGGCAGTATGCTAGGTGAAGACAATGCACTGCTGGAAAAGAGGCGCAAGAGGTTGCTCCTTTTTGCGATCTTATGTGCAACCATCACCTATCAAGCTGGGCTAACCCCGCCAAGCGGCTGCTGGCAAGATGATGATAAACAACATGGTTATCATGCAGGTCACCCAGTCCTCTTTAGCAACCACCCACGCCGTTACAAAGCCTTCTTCTACTGCAACACAACAAGCTTCATGTCATCCATCGCCCTTATCATACTCTTGGTCAATCCAAATTTGTATAGGCCAGCCATTCATAGCTATGCGCTCTCTGTTTGCATGGTGGCTGGCATGTTTGGTCTCATGGGTGCCTATGCTGCCGGAAGCTCACAACATATGCGGACATCCATATATATCTTCGTTTTGCTATTCATTTTTCTGGTCTTACTTCTTGTAGCATTCGTGGTGCACCAGAAATCTCAGGGCACGCAGAACAGGAGAACAAATGAAGCGGAAGTACCTAATACGAATGACATCAAGCGTAAACAGTACACCAAGCGCAAGAACTTGATGCTACTGGGGATTCTAGCAGCGAGTGTCACCTACCAGGCCGGCTTGCACCCACCGGGTGGCGTGTGGCAGAGCAATGATGATGCTGGGCATGCTGCGGGTGACCCAGTCTTGCATGACAAGCAAAAGCTACGGTATCACGCCTTCTTCTACAGTAACTCCATTTCCTTCATGGCGTCTATCATTGTTATCATCTTGTTGTTGCCAGAGTCGCTAAAACTGAATGTCAATGAGTGGTTGTTGAAGGCAATGAACACGACAGTTGTTCTCGACATGATTGGACTCCTGGTAGCCTATGGTACTGGCTCTAGTAGGGATTGGGACACATCTGGATATGTCATCGCGATGGCAATATTTGTTCTAGGCTACATTTCAATCCATGCTATGCTATCGAAGTTGAGCCAGGTTGCCAACCATCGTGTTGCTTCTGAGGATCCTGAGTCTCAAGTACTTGGTAATGGTTTGCATCAGGCGCGTGGGGTCTGTGTGGGACTCCATCCATCCATCAATGTTGTTCAGTGAGATGCATTTTCAGCCCAGTAATTCTACATACTAGTTGTACTATCAAACAAATGATGTACTAATGTACTACTAGGTTTATAATTTCTCTGTTTTTCTACTTTTTCTATGCTTGTGTTCTCCTAATTTCCTCTATGTCTATCTTTGCCAATAATTATATCCATATCTTTAGATAACATTTTTCATCTGTTATACACAAATGCTATGTGCTTATATATGGCCATTTTCTATGGTTTGTTTTCTCTATCTACTACATCTTTGTTCTTAAGCATCCTTGTCTCCACATCTATTCGATCGAGCCATCAAGGTAGAATTGTGGGATTATTGTTTGTTGGTCTAGTGTTGGACCTGTATGTTTAATACTCCTTCCAGGCTGAAAATAATTTTCGGTTTGGACAAGAATGTTTTTGAACTTTATAAATTTTGATTATGGATAACTTCTAGAATATTACTTGGAGACCATATGTATAGTGGTCAAAGTTATTTCTTGGAGACTGTATATCCTTGTCCAAAATGACAATTATTTTCAACCAGACGAGAGTATATATAATTTAGCAACTATGTTGAGCTAGTATTTATTCTATGACAATATTTTGGGATAAAGGAATATTTCTTTCCCCTCAGTCAACTTCATGGGCAACACATGCCCTAGCAACAGCCACCCCTTGAAAGTGCATCTAGGCCCTAGTGGGTTTTGGATGATTAATAACATGACAATTAAGGTATTATTGGTTCAATTGAGCTAAAGTACATGTGCTAGTCCTGACGATGAATGTCTTAAGTCGTGGAGCCCCTACAAAATTAAAGCAAGCGGTAAAAAGGACTCAAGATGATTTAAATTCCATTTTATTTTGAAATTGAGTACTTGGAAGATTGTACTATTAAGAGGGGTTCATGTTGAAGGACTAAATTGTTTTCCAAGCGCTCAAAATATGCTTGATCTTAAGTGAGATACACCATGCACTATACTCACATGGCAAAATGGTATTAGTTCTTAATGCGGGCCAGATGTTCCAGTACTTATAACCAGAGGTTCCGGCCAATGTTCTCTGTTTAGCCGAGAGATTAGACCAGAAGTTCTGGTCAATGCTCTTGGGCTTCCGATCACTGTGATTAGTAGTTTTGATCCACCTTCTCTAGTCGTGCTCTAAGTTTTGATTAGAAGTTCTAGTATTCAAATATGTAGGTAATGGTTAGTTTTGGAGAAGTGCGAATATTTAACTTTACCCACCTCATCTTTCAGTAGTTTGCTATTCCATCGTTTAGATTGTCACACCATGCACTAGCACCACTTGTAGTGACACCAGAGAGGGTGCGCCACAAGATATTATCGTGAACCGACTTCCGCGGAACCTCATTGCCAGTACTAGTCCTGTGACACAATGCTGGTACCCATGGCTAACGGAGATGCATCGTTGCAACTAAATATAACCTAGATAAATTACACCTTACAGGAGGCACACCTTGGGGAAAACTCCGATAATGTAACCTGCAAGTAGAGAATCTGCAACAATATTTAATTAGACTCAATGCATAAGCAACGGCTTGGGACTAGGAAAGAAACCTTAATCTTCAACTTTACTTCACTCTTCATAGGGATGAGAGTACTCAGCAAGCCATAAGAAATATGAGTATCCAGGCTTCAAAGTGGGCTAGGTTTGTTTCATAAACTTTTCAAATCATTTTCCAAAAACACCAAGTGTGGATTATTTAACAAGTGATTGGAAAGTGGCTCTCGCCTTGATCCTATCCACGAATTGCTTTGCAATAACTCAAGCAGACAAGGCAAAGTTTAGTTGATTAAAGTTATTGGTGAAGTCTCTATACTAGTCCTCTACCCATCACACCTACTCATAGTGGTTGTCATGAGGCAACTCTCTTCTCAGCTCCCTTATTAGTTTCTTTTCACTTTCTACATCCATGAAGCATCAGCCGATCTCATATCTCTATCCCCAAAATGGGTAATCAAGAGAATCGACAAGATGCATAGAGCATTTCTATGGAAAGGAGATGAACCCGAGAATGTTAAACCACGAGCAAGCCTGGTCAATTGGCAGATAGTCTGTAGACCGAAGGACATGGGGGTATTGGGGATCCTCGACCTCGAGAGATTCTCCTCTGCCCTAAGACTAAGATGGCTCTAGATAAAGTGGAAAGACCAATCCAGGCCCTGGGACAAAATGGAATTGCCATGCAATGAGAGGGATATTCATCTCTTCCAAGCCTGCACTGAAATCCATTTGGGTGATGGAACTAAGACCTTTTTTTGGAAAGATAACTGGCTTAAGGGGCGTTGCCCAAAGGACGTCACCCCGGCTCTCTTCAAGCTAGCAAAGAGGAAAAGCAGGAACGTCTCCACTGAACGCACAAATGGCAATTGGATTCAATCCTTCAGGCAAATCACCATGGTCGAGGAAATTCACGAACTGGTCCAACTAGGAAGCTTATTGACCGAGGTTGAGCTCGATCAAGGGGAGGAAGATGAGATCATCTGGAAGAGATCCAGTTTTGCGACCTATACGGCCCGCAGCGCCTGTCGTGCTCAGTTCCTAGGATCGCAGCAAGACATGATATATCTAATCAATTGGAAAACCCAAGCGCTTCCCAAGCAGATATTCTTAGGATGGCTCATACTTCATCACAAAGTGCTAACGGCAGACAATTTACTCATAAAACACTGGGAGTGTAGTTGGATTTGCCCGTTATGCAGGAGCGCTTTCGAAGATGCCGATCACCTATTCAGACAATGTGAGTTCATCCAGGAAACTTGGAGCCAAGTAGCTACTGCGAGCGGTTTCTATCATGGTCACAATCACTCCACTATTGCGGAATGGATGAGAAATCTTGCTGTGGGGGGGGGGGGGGACCAAAAAAGAAGTCAAGGCAAGGATTGGCGCCTTAATAAAAACCTGGTGGCACGTTTGGCTCCAAAGAAACGCAAAGATATTCAGGGGAGAAGAGCCCAACGCACAGAGGACTGCGCACCTTGTCATAGAAGACTGCCGAGAATGTAACGTAGTTTTTGAACCACCTTGATCCCTATTCTATCACCGCCTTCTGTTCAAGTAGTTCATCGTATTTTATCTGTAAACACCTAATGTAAACTTGTGTTTTTCCCCCTTCTAATATATTCGGCAAGACTCTTGCCGCGATCGTTTAAAAAAAAATCTCTATCTCTTCAGCCCCCAAAGCTATCCATAGCCTCAAGCACAAACTGCATCCATTCGGGAAGCTTGATCTATGTTGCCATTGGACATCCCGATCCACACAAGACCAGTTCATACCATGTAATGGTCATCCATGCATCAGCCATCATGGTCGATTCTAGTAACACTTTCAATCCCACAAATCACTTCCGCAAATCATAGACAAACAAATCTACACTAGGAGAATCATCTCACATTCACCCGTGATCGTGGGCATTGACGTGTAACATACTAGATTTTTCAGGGTAAAATTTTTGCGAAAATATTTAAAGTCATTGTTCTTCGTTCTTTCGAATTGGAGCCTCCCAATCCATATACTTCTTTTGTTCCCTCTGAGATTCCACCTTCCGCATAACTTCGTTAAGTTTCCTCTCCAAACCAAATTCGAGATATCCCAAACAAAATTCTCAAAATCATCAGAAGAGCTCGTGTTTATTTTAAGTTATACCGGAGTCATCGTGCAAATATTCTAAAATCCCCAGTCTCATCGATTTCCTATTCAAAAATATCCTACCAAAGATCTATTCAAAAATTTCTTGAACACTATCTCTCCCTGGGTTAAAGTCTACCTTAACCCAGCCCATCGCCTTTTCTTTTCATTCACCTCCTTTACCCATCTCTCTGTTTGGGCTGTGCTGGTCCACGACTGCTGTTGGCCGAGCCGAGGCAGCCGCCGCCCGCGCCGTCCTGCGCCCTTCTTGTGTTCGCACGCGCTAGCCGCATGCCGCCTCACTCCTGCCTACTCCGCTCCGCATTCCGCCATGCGCAGCACACGCCCGTCTGAGCCGTCTCATGCTGGCTCGCGTATACGCGTGCGAACGCCGCTGTGCGGTTCCAAAACAGCCACGCAGCTGCTCGTAGCCATCCCTCCTTTGTTTTCCCTCCTCCTCCAGTCCTTCCCTCCTTCAAAGTGAATGAGCTAAAGGCTGCCCCTCTGTAGACATCAAGAGCTAATCTCGTTTTCATCCCAAAACTTCTCCTGCCAGAGCCAAGTCCGGCTGTGCAGCCGTTTCGCCGGCGTCGATCTTCTGCCACCGCACCACGGCACCGCAGGAACACCTCTCATCGATGAGAACTTCCCCAACCTTTTTCCCCTTCTTTCCTTGCTTGTGTCGAGCTCCCATCGTGCTCCTGTCCACCACCATGGCTACCACCGTGGTCAGTTTTTCCGGCGCCTCATCTATATCAACTAACCACAAAAATGGAACCTTCTCATCCGGGAACCCGTTTTGACACGCTCACTCGCCCGCGTTCGCCACCGGAGCTATGCCACTTCCATGCTCGGTGTCACCATAGCTCCAGATCTGGAACTCGCGTTCCGGCTAGCTTCGTTGTCTTCCAGCCCAGCGTCCACATCCTGTGGGGGTGTCAGCCTGTGGAACACGTCATGATATCGTCTTCGTCGCCGTTTCCCCACTGGAGCTCTGGAGCTTTTCCTTCCTTCTCTGTTACTCACGTGAAAAGCCACGGGAAGAAGATGAACAGTGCCGGCCAACACTGTTTCCTAGTGGTTGAACCCAACCAACCCCATCAAATCCACCTAAATAGTGCCTAACCACAATAAAACCTGTCCAAACAGTTCTATTAAGATGTTTTGCTCCTGTTCGAGCTCTAAAACACCAAATCAATTTCAGTTGTCACCTCTGTTATCTATAGCGTTAATATCAAATTGCAATCACTACTACACAGACCATGAATCATAACCATAGGATAAATCTTTTTCCATTCAAATCAACTTAACTCTCGATTTATCATTTTCTTTTGCTCAGGCTCCGATTCATAATATTTATTTTATCGTTTATTTGTAGTATTTTTATTATAGGCTTATTTGGTCGTTTCTTCATGTGCGTACGATAGATCGCGTTGAAGATCCCACTGGACTCGCAGGAACTGAAGTGGACCTAGAAGGCTAAGCTGAAGCTTCAGAAGGCCACGTTCCACAAGGCAAGCCACAGTTTCAATCTTTGATCATATTAAAACCTAGTAAAGAACCACTTAGTTATTTTCTGCATTGAGTATTTATAAAATTATTTTGCGTATAATTTATTTTTGAATAAACTTGTAAGTTTAGTTATTACCCATTATTACATTGTTATTATTGGCCAAATCCATGGATTGCTATATCACGCCCTTTGATAATCTAGGTGTAGATTTGTATACTTCACAATAATATCCCAGTGGATAAGACCACCAAATATCTATACTCATATACATGGTTTACCCGTCGTCACGTGGTGGTGTGTCGGGTGATATAAAATGTGTTATTTGATATGAGTCACTCGCCTAGAGTGATATGGAAGATTAATTCCGGGTGAAGATGGATGTTGTGGTGTGTGAGGCCATGCATATTGTTATAATTATTTTGTGGAAAGTGTAAATTTACACTTGAAGTATGCACGGGCCTGTGCTAGTTTTGGTGGCTTTCCCCCGGATATAAGGACTACCCTCTTATGCCATGGAAAGTGATGTAATTTG